TTCGACTTTTGAATGCATTGAAAGTGTGCAGACTTTGAAAAACTGTATAAAATCATAGAAAAATCCAAATAAGGTGAGACCAATTTCCTTAGTTAGATATTTGAGTCTAATTTATTTATTATTTTATGATCAAGACATGAATTCGAGCTTAAAATGGGCAAAACAGTTCTGCATGCAACAACTGTACATAGAAATTTAGATAAAATGTTCAAATAGGATATGTGTATATCATAAGTTTCTTATATTGGTTGCTTATGAGATTTTGTACATTTACTCCAGGGGGTAATTAGGACATGTTTTGATACTTTGGAAGCAATCTAAGTGTGGTAGATTGGACTTGCTTTGTGAGCTCATTCGGAGCTTTCCGGTATTGTACGGTTGCCCGGTGAGTTATATAGTTAATTGTTACATATTGATTTGAACATATATATTTTCATATGAATGTTTTTGGTCTTTAATGGAGTCACACGATCTTGATTTGTCTTTGATTCCATCTCTTGAGTCGATTCCATATTACTATCTCGGTACATAGGTTTGCTTTCCGGATCCGGACTTGTTTGTTTTGTTCCTTGAATTGTACGCCATAGTACGGGTACTACTTCGTGTGGCACGCCGAAAGTTTATGGCGAAGTCAAGATCCCGGGTTGGACGGGTGAGACTTTCTGCTGTTGTAAATACTCATTGCTTATAAAGGAGGAAGAACAATGAGTAGGGAACCTTGGCACATACCTGGTAGAGGAAGGCGGGCAGTGCGAGGTTTCCCATGATGTATGATTCGAACTCGGACTTTGGCATGAGCCCGGAAGATGAAGGACGGGGGGATGCACTGTCCTCGTTATATATACCAATTCGATCTCTTGGTTCTTGATATTTATTGGTATTCTAACGTTGCTGAATATATTTGGTTGTTGATCCTGTCTCCTTGTTGTATTGAGCATCAATGGTATGGTATACTATGGTGATTTGAATWTGGAATCCTATGATCTTAGCATCCGGTACGTAATTGTTCATTCGGTTCCTTGTAAGTCTCGGTTTGCATCTGGATGATGTCTTGAACTCTTTTATTGATAAAAGTTTATTATGTATGTTTATGAACATGTGCGATATTGATATGTAATACTTAACTATTTAACTCACTAAGCGTTGGTTTACCATTTAAGTGGCAACCTCTCTTAGGAAAGAAGACAGACAAAAAGAAAGAACCTGTTGTTTGACTTGAAATTTATCGGGGAACTTGAAGATATCGATCTTGCTTTTGGGTAAATAATAGCTTATTACCGTATCTCATAGTTGTAGTATGTGTAGCTTATATATAGTCTTGTCCCATATTCTTTTGCTACATAATTCGGGTTGTAAGTAAAAACTCCGTTATATCCRGTTTGGAATTGTGTTTTGGGTGGTTTTATCACTAAAATAGAACGGATATTTCAAAGTTTTCTAGAAAATTAATATCTCATATTTTGAGGTTAATTAATGTTATGCTCAAATTTGTGTCTTTCAAAGGGTTGGTCCATTTTCATCGTCTCTGGACCAATTCATCGCCTCTGGTCTATTTTCATCGCCTCTTGACCAATGCATCGCCTCTGGACCAATTCATCGCCTCTGGACCAATGCATCGCCTCTGGTCCATTTTCATCGCCTCTGGACCAATTCATCGCCTCTGGACCAATGCATCGCCTCTGGTCCATTTTCATCGCCTCTGGTCCATTTTCATCGCCTCTGGACCAATTCATCGCCTCTGGTCCATTTTCATCGCCTCTGGACCAATTCAGCGCCTCTGGTCCATTTTCATCGCCTCTGGACCAATTCATCGCTTCTGGTCCATTTTCATCGCCTCTGGACCAATTCATCGCCTCTGGTCCATTTTCATCGCCTCTGGACCAATTCATCAACTCTGGTCTTCTTCCAAACTTAGTCATTTCAGCAGCCTCTGGTCCATCGCTTGCCTCTGGACCAATTCATCGCCTCTGGACTTCTTCCAGACTTAGTCATTTCAGCAGCCTCTGGTCCATCGCCTGCCTCTGGACCAATTCATCGCCTCTGGACTTCTTCCAGACTTAGTCATTTCAGCAGCCTCTGGACCAATTCATCGCCTCTGGTCTTCCTCCAGACTTAGTCGTTTTAGCAGCATTTTCAGATTTTCCATCCTTGGCCCCGATTGCTTTGACAAAACTTTTAATATAATTAGGATCAATTTTGGTCTCAATAATCAATAAATTATATTTTATTGGAGATTTTATAAAATTGGTAATTTGGGGTTTGCTCAAGTCAGATGTTACACCTAAGTCATGGGCCATCGTCGTCATTCGACAGTTTCGACCACGTAGTGCTAAAATCCTGTTTAGTTCGAAGGAATTTTCCTTAACAGTAAGAAAGAGTCGACTTCATTTGACAAAAGTAGCAGAAAATATAGTTGGAATATGGCTAAAAAAACAGTTGAGAATTTGAGATATGAACTACGTTAATCTGAATGTTCCTGCCAGAACTAAATTTGGACCGGTTAATTTATATAAGTAACAAAAAAGCATAATCATTTAAGCAGTTCTGGAAAGAAATATCGAATCTAGATTAAATCTATCTATATTAAATCAAAAACACTGCTTTCAGTAGTTTCTAATTTTAATTCCTAAATTATCATCTAATCTAGATGAAAATTTCGTTATCAACTGCTACCCATATCTAAGGAGATCCTAAGGTCTCGTTTGGTTTAAAAGAATTCGTTTGAATGAATCTAAACAATAAATAATAGTTAATTTTAGGGGAAATTTGAATGAAATGAAAATTGGTAAACGAATGTATCTGATTGCGAGTGCGTTGCACCAAAACAGAAGCAAATTTGTCACTATTCTTATTTTGGAGAACCAACTTTTAAAATTTGTATGCTGGGAAACTAATTTCAAAAGTTCTCATACCGAAGAACCAAAAACGAACCAATTTTGTTGTTTTTTTTGATTAACCTGGATATCCAACCAGCTATGCGAGCCGACTAATCACAGGGCGACCACTTGCTTTGCAGATAGCTCAGAGTCACCGCATTTGAACCTCCGTGGTCACAAAGGGATTTTTATTCCTCCTTAGTTTTGAACTTGGGCCGTTCTGGTACTTTTGACCTGTGAAGCCAAACTCAAACCAATCAGACACCACCCTTGTGGTTACCAATTTCGTTGTTGTTCCATATATTGGAAACAAAAATTTGGTCATTAGGGCATAAAATACGAAAATTTATGGATCTGCCATTGAAGCGATGACTCATTTTCAGGCACTTTCTTCTTTTGTATCTTTCAAAATATTCCCATTTCCCACACAACACGTTTATGTCTTTATTTCCGGCTCATTTAACCTTTGTCGAGTGTGGGGAGACAAGGTGCAACTACGTTTGTGTTCGTTTTCTGTCTTTTACTGATGTTATTTCTGTAACATTTTGTTATGCTGTTTTATTTATTCAAAATCCAACCACAACCCGACACGTGTACTTTCCTTTGCCATGTCACTATGCTACAACCTCTCCAAAGTCCATGTCAACATTTTATCATGATAAACTACTTCTATCGGCGACAACCATATCTCATTTCACATATGAATACAAACAAAATAGGAAACGACAAAATACTCCGAAGCAGACACGCTAAAAAATTTGAAAAACACCACAATAAACTCATTTCAAGGCTGAAAAATGTGGATATTAAATCTTATTGAAAAACTATCACGCCCCCAAACTTAAAACATCACTTGTCCCTGTTCATATGGGGAAAAAAAACATCACGCACAACATACAATTAGCAGCCCCTTACTAGTAAGGGAAAAGGCTAGCGCGCAAGGGCTGATGAAAAGCCAGCAACTTGTTATAAACATATAGAGGATCCAGTGTTGCTCCAAGGAACATTTTCTTTTTCTTGGGATTGTTGGTGTCGGGTAAGCGTTTGCCGGATATCACTTACGTACCAGGTGGGCATGACAATAATCGAAATTTTACCTAGTAAGTGAGGGAGAAGACTCTTACCAAGTTGGTGCTTACTGGGTAAGAGACCCTTACCAACAATCCATTTTGATGATCGAATGTTAATGTATAAAGTAAGTGAGGGGTGATAACTCTTGTTGGTAAGTTTTTTTTTTTTTTAAGTAGGCATGTCGTTTGGTAATCATTTACTCGGTAAACGTTTGGTAAACGACCTTTTAGTTATTTGTAGTTTTTAATTATGTTTTAGATTTAGGGTTGCACACAGATTGGGTTGGTCAGGTTGAAGGCATTTGAGCAACCCAATCTAACTCAAACAAAAGTATAACCTAACCCAAACCGTACAGGTTGAGTTGAATAATTTTTTTTTCTAAATATTTTTTTTTGATTAACCTGGATATCCAACTCGCTATGCGAGCAGACTAATCACATGGCGACTACATGCTTTGCAAATAGTCCGGAGTCACCATATTTGAACCTCCGTGGCCACAAGGAGATTTTTATTCCTCATTGGATTTGAACATGAGACCTTCAAGTACTTTTGACCTTTGGAGCAAAGCTCAAACCAATCAGACACCACCCTTGTGGTTAACTATCATTTTTTTATATATTTTTATGGGAAAATGTTTGATCCAAACCTATTTTGTTAACTAAAGAAAAGCAAGGGGTTGTTTCATGTTTGGTTGTTTTTCATTAAGTCATGTATGAATAAAATTGTCTTATGTATTAATATGTCTGTATTGAGACCGTTTTTGTTTGAGTGGGTTTTTTTATAGATGAAAGGAACGTGTTTTTAATTCGGTTTTCTTAAAAGCTTATTACATTAAGTCATTATCAAACAATCATGTATAACTGACCGAATAAGTTGTGAGCTCCGTTAATCTCATTAAATTGCCAACAAACAAGTATAGATTCGGATCAATATTTGTTAATTACAGAACAGCCCAAAACTTTTCACAAATTATAAATTCGCCCCTTGAATTTTCGAGAAATCGCAGATTTGGCCTGGTACAAAGAAGTGGTGCTAAATCACTGAATTGAACAGAACGAACACACCTCACAAACGAGTTCTTCCTCCACCATGGCTATCCTTCTTCCTGCAACTTCAACTCTTTTTCCTCACAACAAGGTTCTTTCTATCTACAGACTCTGTATGTGTATGTATAATGTGTCTACTACTCTACGTGTTCTTATATCTATATTGCTTATACAGGACCGGTCCCATTTTTAATTTTGTTTTTATCGTGCACAAGTTGATTTTGAGTTTCTTCACAGTGATTGTTTATAGGATGCTAAGAATCAAAGCTATGTAGACGCGATTTCTGAAAATCGGAACACTAATTTACAATTTTAACTAAATTCAACCGATACGAGTATGTGTCTAAATTCTAATGGAATTTTGATTCCTGAAGAAAATGTTTCTTCGAGATTTGGAGGAAATTAGTTGAAGAACATGTTTCTTCGAGATCTAAACAAAACGTTTCTTCGTGAAGAATTTTTTTCAATTCTGGATGTTTTCAATTGGAAATTAGCTGAAAATCTGAAGTTAGGTTAGATCCAAACCTCGAATAGCGTGTTCCCGAGCACAACCGGAATGTTTCTGTTCATGTGATTTTAATGATCGTGATGCTTGGACTCGTGAATTTTAATGAGTTCATTGTTTTTTGTTGATCGTTATCATAATTTTTGACTGATGAATGATAATGATCGCATAGATTGGTGATGTTACTGTGGGGGGAATTCTGAGAATTAGTTTTGATGCAAGTTTTTTTGTTCATTCCAGTTGAGGATGTATAACAACTACTATGCTCATGTCTAACCCCTATTACTACTTCTGGCTCGAACTGTTGTCTCGTCAATTATATAGGTTCTAAGTCTGTTTTCTTTCTTTAGGATCTGTCTTCTAAAAAACTTGTTTGACCCGTACTACCTGTGAAGCCTGTTGAATTTGTTCCGTAAGGATATAAAATGAAATACATTGTTAAAATGTGACGAATGTATATCAACATCATGGCTAAAGTTGTCTATTATTTTTCAAGTTGTCATTGAAATGCCTTAAATACTTACTAAAAGCTTAATGCACAAGCACTTACCTGTTGTCATGGTAAGGACCAATAATCTTACACAGTAAGAAGCATGGCAAGGACTGATAATCTTACCCGATAAGTGACAGAGAAAGACTCTTACTCGGTAAACGCTTACCGGGTAAAAGACGCTTACCAACTATGCATTTTAATGGCCTTGGATGATACCTTACAAGTTAGTTGAGTGAGGGTGGTGATTATTGGCTTATTGCCTATAAGCGCTTATCCTGTATGCATTTGGTAAACGGCCCCTGTATCAAACTGGAAGTCCATATCCGATTCTGGAGCCTAACATCAGAAATGCTGCCATGAGATACTACTTTTGCTCTGTATTCTCTATTCTAGTTTACCTAGTGAAACCAAAAGGCATAAAGGACTCATCCCATCAATGGATTATAAATGTTATATCACTTGGAAGCAATACAGAATACTGATTTTGCTGCTGTCGGTGAATGTGACCCTACTGAGTCAATCGCTTAAGTCTATGTGTGCGATTGTTCGTCTTTTTGGTCACACGGATCATTGACCAGTGAGGTTATAACTCATAAGCATGATTTAAAGAAAGGGTTTAGGGTCTCTCTTTGTTCTTTAGCCTCTCTTTGTTGTTTATGGTCTTATTTTCTGTTTTCAACCATATTGTATCATTCACTGATTTTTTTTGGGCGGTCTGATTTCAGTTGAACCATGTTCTTATTTGTCCCATCGTCCCAAATACACCAGCACAGAAAAATATTATCCAAAAAGTTATTGGAAACAGCGACACTCGCATGCGTCAAGTGCTGACTAAAGCCAAAACTTCGTTAGAGGCAGAAGTACGAGCAAAAGATTCAGTTACAGCTGAACCCGTTGATGACGAGAATGGTAATCCTTTCGTTGGTTTCTTACTACATCATCTTAGGCCATGTTTGATAACCATAACTTATTTTTTGAGCTTATTGAAAAACCAGTTCGGTAAGCATAAGCTGTCATTTTGAAAATCCACTTCCGGTAACTTATTGGGGTTTCTTCAAATTTTTACAATTATTGCCTCTTGTAGCCATCTTATTACAAAAGTTGGATCCATGCAGATTTTGGAGTTGTAAATCTTCACCATGTTGGAATATTATGTGAAAACCTTGAGCGATCACTTGATTTTTACCAGAACCTTTTGGGTATGTTGCATTTTCCTTTGCTGAAGTCTAATTCCATGCATCATCTTTCCGGTCAAGAAAAATCGAACCTTTTTATGTTTAAATTCATCAGGTCTCAAGATAAATGAAGCAAGACCTCATGATAAGCTTCCGTACAGGGGTGCATGGCTTTGGGTTGGTTCTGAGATGATTCACTTGATGGAACTTCCAAATCCCGACCCTTTTACAGGTCGGCCTGAGCATGGGGGACGAGATCGTCACACTTGCATTGCCATTCGCGATGTCTCGAAGCTAAAAGCTATTCTCGACAAAGCTGGTAATTCTTCTATTTCCATTCTTATATGCAGATTGCTCAAAGATCCCGATACGCTCTAAACCGAGCTTTATTGATTAATACCGGGACTAACAAAACTGTAAACTGAAATCTTATGAATTTGTCTGTCTTCTGATGCTTGCCCTACCATCCATTTATAGTTTATTTTATCGAATCCTACGAAACTATTTGAATAAAATACCGATTAAGTCGGATAAAATAGCATCTATCCTTTACTTCCTTCTAAAATTATGTTTTCCGAGCTCTTTAACATCTTTGACGATGTTATCTCAGGTATTCCATACACCCTTAGTCGCTCAGGAAGACCGGCAATCTTTACAAGAGACCCGGACACCAACGCTCTGGAATTCACACAGGTCGATTGCTGATGCTTTATATCATATATCGGTATGAAGTATAAAATGTTTATGCAGTTTCTGAATATGTTATCTCCAGAAACTGATGTGCATATTAGGTTAAGGAAATCTCCATAGACAACATGTACTTATACAGATTGATGCATTCCTAATAAAGATTATAGACCTACAAATTCTATATAATAATTGACAGAAAATTATCGATGGCACATATTTTTGAAATTATGTACAAAACTCATCATACTTACAATTGAAACTAATAAAAGAGATTATTCCTGGATGCAGAATATGCAATAAATTGAATCAGTAGATATGCTCAAAAACATAATGCTATATAAACATATTGGTTTTAGAGAGCTTTATTGGTGGAAGAGTGTCTCATACTTGGCTCCTTGAGGACGTTGAGCGTAACCTCCAGTCTTGTATGGCTGATCGCAACGTATGGTTGGGAGTTAGTGTCTTGTGTTGTAGCTTGCGTTTCGTCATTGGTGATACATTTTGTCTTTCAAGCCATATCTGTATAGCTCTGTGTTCGTACGTGAAACCGTCAGCAGCAATGTGAGGATCATCCATGACTTCCTGAATTGGCAATTTGCAATAGAACACAGAAAATCGGAGTTAGATTACATGCCACCAACATACAAAAATCACATCGTTAAATACTTTTAGTTCCATAAGTTTAGTGTTTCAACGCTCTTCGTAGAATCTCATTTTGTAAGAAACAGTGTTTGGTACGTGGAAAGGACGACCGGACGGGCAAGAATGAGGTATGCAGCTGAAAGAATTGTGGAAGGTTTTAGGGTTTTAATTTGACATGGTAGTTTAGTAATTTACCAAGCTTGTTTCATCTCCCTAATTTTTGTTCCACCTATTTTGGTGGGATAAAAGAACTCCATTTTTGGTCCATTCAATCCTGCCCAGTCCCAGTCTAATTGTCACACCAAATGTGGGACAACAAAATTTTGTCTTGTCCTGTCCCAAGTACCAAACACATCCATATCATAACGACAAAAGGAGATTTAAACTACCATGGTTCAAGATTTTAAAGTAAGGGTTGGAGCCAGACGTATATCCCCAACCCTTACAAGACCGAGCCTAGGTGCACCGAGGTTGCATTTTATATAATAGAAAAAGCATATTGTTTATATATATATATATATAGAGAGAGAGAGAGAGAGAGAGAGAGGGATGTTATTCTACACCCTTTGCCATTCCTACACCCTATACAACCCTCATCTCAACCATTCAATTTTTAATCAATTAATTGTTTCCTAATATAAACTATTAATCATAATTAATAAACTCTATTCATATTCCATAAATATTCAAATCATAATAAATGAACTCCAATCATTTCTATAAATATCTCAATTAATTAGGTTGCAAAGGTTGTACAAATGCACAAGGTTGTAAAAGAAATATACCCTATATATATATATATAGGGGCCCCTTTCAAGGGAGAATTGATTGGTTTGTGGTAATTGTAAGATCCAATCTCAACCACAAATCAACAAATAAATTAGGAAATTAATAATTATGGTAGTTTGAGTTAAAATTATAATTAGAGGGCATTTTAGGTATTTTTAAAAAACTTCTCTCTCCTCTCTCCCCTCTCATCTCTCTGACCTCCAATCTTCAGTGAACATTAATCCGGCGAGTACCAAGTAATCACAAAGATACACAATGTGATATCATTGTAATACCAACTATGATACCAACTCAAATCTTAAAAACAAAGATACACAATGTGATACCTATTGTGATATATTGTAATACCGATTTTACTGAAGGCCGAAGATTGGAGGTCGGAGAGATGAGAGAGGAGAGAGGAGTTTTAAAAAAAAATACCTAATATGCCCTTTAATTATAATTTTAACTTAAACTACCATAATTATTAATTTCCTAATTTATCCGTTGATTTGTGGTTGAGATTGGATCTCACAGTTACCCCAAACTAATCAGTTCTCATTTGATTAGGCCCCTATATATATATATAGGGTTGGGTTCTGGTGAAAATGAAAGTTATGGTGAAAAAGACGAGAAGGTTAAGAAGGAATCTCCACCCTTGGATCAGTCCTAATTAAAGAGAAACACTAGATCAAGTGTAATGAGATACACCAGATCAATTCCCTTCTAAAGTGCAATTCATGGGTTGGTTTGAGATTAAAGGTGACAAAGGTCCAAATCCTTTCTTATACTCACCTTTAACTCCTATTCTTACACGATTCTTCGTCTCTCTCTATATATGTATGTATATAGGGTTATACCTGAAGAATTGGACAATAGAAGTGATTAGGAGCATCATTGCTATTTTTGGCAACCTTCCTACTTGTATCACCAAATTCATATAGCTTCTTCAGAACAGGGAGTACTTCTGTATCAAGATCTGGTCTATCCCTGCATCTAAGACTACAACACTTCAGACCCAATTCAGCCAATTCCTCTGCTTCAGCTAACGGCCAATCAGCTATCGAGTCATCTAGTATATCAGATAATGTCCCACGAGAAATAGCCGATTCAACCATCGGTATAATCCCTTTCGGTTGAAGTGAAGTTAGCAGCTGCAAAACTATAATCCCAAAAGCATATAGATCCGATTTTGGTCTAACGGTCCCGGTTCTGTGGTACTCGGGATCTATGTAGTACATGGTACCAGCAAGAATAGAGTCTTTGTACTCCGTTACATTATCGGGCACCACATCTGTTATAAGTTTAGCCATTCCCACATCTCCGATTTTGCTCACGAAGTTTCGGTCAAGCAAGATATTCCCGGGTTTTAGATCACGGTGTACTATAGGCTCGGGTTTTGAGTTATGTAAGAATGCGAGTGCACATGCCACTTCGAAAGCTATACGAAAACGGGTAGACCAAGAAAGATAACTTGTGGTAGTTGCTTGGAAAATATAGTCTTCTAGGCTTCCATTTTCCATGTATTCATATATTAGGCAACCTCTTTCAGGACAGGCTCCAAGAAGTTGCACCATGTGTGGATGGCTTAGTTGACTTAGAACCTCAACCTGTAAAAATTTGATAAATGATGTAAGAAATGAGTTTGCAGCAAAATACATAACTTAGAGGTCGTTTACCAAACACTTACCCGGTAAGCGCTTAGCGGTAAACTTAACACTATCATTTACTTAACGAATAAGATTTTAGTCCACCAAAACGGTATCGTATGTAACAATTTACCCGGTAAGCGCTTACCATGGTAAGAGTCGTCGCTCTCACTTACCGGGTAATACTCTTGGTCATTGTCTCGCTCTTACCGGGTAAGATTTTTAATCCTTACCATATTCATCCGATAAGGTAAAATGAGCTTGGTGTTCACTTACCCGAGTAAGCGTTTGGTAAACGGCCCCTTAGGCGTCGTTTACCAACACATAACATTTAATTGTATAGAAGGTCATAATGGTAAAAAAAATTATCAGATTATGGAGTGAATTATTTTTTGTCCGGTCTTCGAAACGCACCATGATGATAGTTAACAATAGGTAAAACAGACTCTTAATTCCGAAAGAAAAGAGAGTGAAGGAAAAAAACCTCTCGTAGAAACTCGCGTCTCTTTTCAGATGTATCGGACCAAAGGACTTTGATGGCTACCGGGGTATGATCAAGATTACATTTGTAGACTTTACCATATGCTCCTTCACCAACCACTTTCGTTTTCGAGAAGGAGTCCGTTGCCACCTCGATCTCATCAATTGAGTATCTTCTGTACCGTTTATCCTTCGTAAAGAGTGCATCGACAACCTCTTGTTTCTCAGAGGATTCCTTCAGGGCTTTTAGTTCTGCTATTTCCCTTTCATTAGCCTCTTTTGCTAACAGATTTCTTGCTATTTCAACTTCTTTAACTGCTTCCAAATGCTTCTCTTTCTCTTCAGCTGCGATTTTACGGAATTTCTCTTCACGCTCTACCGCAGAACTAATTTTTTTGGCATCTTCAACACTATGAGAAAGCATTTGGACCTGTAAATAGTAACATTTTCATAAAAAAAATTATTAACTTTGTTAAAACAAACTAAACCGGTATATCCCACCGGGGTAAGATGTATGCAGACCCGACCTCTACCACAAAGAGTAGAGCAGTTGTTTCTGTGAAAACCCCTCAGCTTGTAGAAAGGGTGGTAAAGATAGATATGCTATACTTATGAGAAGTCGGTTAAGAGTAAGGTGGTGTTAGTTTTTTAGAGGTGTTGAAGGTTTGCGGTCTTGTTTCACTTCTGATTGATAAGAGGTGGTGCTGAAGTCTGAAAGCATAATCAATAAGACTGTTTGTTTTTGTAAACTAATAGATGTCTGAACCTATATAATTGTCTATTTTTACCCTTCAAAATATTATAATGGTGAATTTATATACAATTTTAAATAAATTAAGGTTAATTGATTGAGAGAGGAGCGATTGAGAAATGCTCGTTGTTGAGGGTCAGGAGAATAATAAGAGGCAAATAAGGGGTTGGTTTACCTCTTACCAGATAAGAGGACGGTAAGACATAAGTGCTTATGAAAAATTGGAAAAAACAAACAGTCTGAATGACCCTATCTCTTACCGAATCAGACATAAGAGACCGAGAAAAGCTTGTTTTTTAAAAACAAACAAGGCCTAAGTGATAAAATACGAATAGAAATAGATATAAGAAACACATAACCAATTTAAGGAAACTATACACCCCTAGAGAGTTTTAGAAAATTCTCTATATTTGGAGTTTTTTCTAGGTTTATTTATTTTCAAGAACAAGATAGGGAATCTGATGGAGCAATATAGAAAACAAAAACTCCATTTTCTCTATTCTAGAGAATCTGTTGGAGATGCTCTTACTAACCCTAGCTCCCACCCTCTACCTCCCCCAATTCCCTACCTTCCATCTACTCTAGCTACGGATCCCCACCCTAGTCTTGCGTGTCCCCAAGCGCTCCTATCAGAGGTCGTGTCCTCGGAAATGTCTGAAGCTGCCATGTCTAACCTCAATTGCTCATCCCACGTCCACCTCGGCCTATCCTTCTAGGATGTCAACTTTCTATCTTCCTCACTGAAGTCGTCATCTGTCTCCTATGAACATGGTCAAACCACTGGAATCTTCCCTCCCTTAACTTATCCGTGTTTTGAGTAATAAAACAAATCTAAGATCTAAATCCTCAAAGAGTAATAATGAAAAACCACAATATCCCGTGCAACAACGACAGATTTTTCTCTAAGATGAAGAATTCGTAAGATTTCCTAATAGTTTGATTCATGGTTCGTGAAACTATAAGAACAAAGAATAATGTCTAACCTTGTTTTCCGTGTGGACGAGTTCATCACAAGCTTGATTGTACATATTAAGAGCATTTCTTAACTCCAGTCTTAGTTTTTCTACTTCAGCTTGTAAGTTTGACTGCAAAATATATAATGTACCCATGTTAGCCTTATTAGAGATAAACTCATATGAAGTGTAGCATATTAACCAAGAAAACACATAAACCGGAAGCAAACATGTCTTGAGGTAATTGTAAAGATATTAAACACCTGATTTGAACATGTTGAAGACATAGAAGTTCCATTTCCCACTCGGGTTTGTGAAATCGCATCACCCAAGGTTCTTCGCGAGCTACTCCTCTTAACAGTACTAGAATTGATGGAAGCGTTCTCCTGGGTCGATGCTGATGTACTCTCGATTTTGGACTTTCTAGAAGATGAACAAAAACCACACCATAGTTTACTTATGCCACAAGAACTGCTCTCTGTAATCATCACTGCCAGAATGAGAAATTTTGTGGCGAAGCCATAATCATAATTTTTATTAGTCAGAAAGGGTGCGTTTGGTATGCCGGACATGACAGTACAAAAACTTGTCCCACGCCTGGTGTAACATTAGACTGGGACAGGACAGGACCTGCGACCCACCAAAATAGGTGGAACAAAAATCTGGGAGATGAGACAAGATTGGTAAATTACCAAACTACCCATGTCACCCACCTACCCGACTCTCACCCGTTAGGTCCTATCCTTTTCCATCAGCACACCAAACACACCGGTAATGTATTGGATTTGTAGTTAAGGGGCTGTTTGGTTGGATTTTTATTAGATCCTGTATGGATAAAACTGTTTGTGTGGATTAATTTGTCTGTATAGATGGAGAAGGTTTTTGTTTGGGAGGGCTTTTTTCATAGATGCAAGGAGCATGTTTTTTTTATTCGGAGGGTCAGGTTTAGAAAAAAACCTGGCTTTCTGCATAAAGCTCCCCTCTAGAACCTTGCTGAATAAGCCACTTTCTATATCATTAAGCTATTACCAAACAATGATATATAGCTGATCGAATAAGTTGAGTCCCATTAAGCTCATGAAGCTGCTAACAAACAGTCCCTAAGTCAACTGCAGTTACCTGAATCAGAGATGAGTCCACGTCTAGAAACCACGTATATGTTGCAAGTTGTTGGAGCATGTTTTAGAACAGTCGAGGGTACCCCAGCTCCATATAACTTCCTAATGAAACGTTAACAGTTAGAACCTTTAAGATTAGGATTGGCAGCAGGTTCTAGAAGTAGAAGAAGATAGCAACTCTTTTGATTGCAACAACCCGCAAGGCTAAGGCCTAAGAAGAGATGACAGAAACTCTCTTGATAGTCATGACCACTCACATAAAACTAACCGATAAACACATTCAACTACAAGTTTAAAACTTATTTTGGCATACGTAAAACTTCATAAAACTAACTGATAAACACGTTCAAATACCCGATAAGTGTTGAGCCCCACTAATAGGACATTATACTCCATAAAACTGATAACCAACAGATGCTTTCTAGCTCTATAAAAACCACACAAAACCATGAAAAAGAGTTGAGAGGGGAGAGAATAGGACGACGCAAGAGGCAGAATTGAGGGTTCGAATTCTCAGCTTCAGAATTGAGATTAACCCGTGTTGCGTTGCGCGAGTACAATTATAGTACCTATTTATACAATTTTAAAGCGGGGATGTTTTGACTTGAGAAATCTAGACATTATTCCGATTAATTCATAGAAGCTTGTAGATTAGAATTTTGCGGTGAAGGAAATATTTTAAGAGATCGAAATCCAGACGTTATTCCGATTAATTAATATTTATCTCTTCATGAATCGTACAATTTTGACAACATTGGATTCTACGGATCACATGTGATTCTTAGTAGAGAAATATTGGTGGTATACCTCATGAGCCAATTGGAATAGCAAGAACCAAGAACCAAGCTATTGATCCCTGACCCAGATGCAAAATTTACAAGCCCGGATGCTGGACTATCCCCTTCTATCACCAAAGTTTCTATCTGCAAAATAGAACTATGAGTACGACATATATTGAGGAGCCCGATTAGATTACTCTCCAAAAGAGCCCTTTAGAGAACGGAGGTTTCAACATATATTGAGGAGAAATAGTCCAAGTCTAGCCGATATAGGACTCCAACACGCCCCTTCCAAAGGAGGCTAGACAGGTACAAATTGTCACGAGGGGATAGACAAACATAGATTATCACGACTGTCGAGTTTTAGAGTGATAGACCTTGGCCTGATACCATGTGAGAATATGTGGAATCCCATTAGGTTACTTTCCAAAAGAGCCCATGAGAGAAGGGGGGGTTCCAACATATATTGAGGAGAAATGGTACAAGCCTAGCCGATGTGGGACTCTGACAACCACCTCCAATGGACGGGTACAAATCGTCCTAGAGTGTGTTAGACAGACATGGATTGTCACAAATTCCCGAATCCCTAGAGTGGTAAACCTGGCTCTGATACCACGTGAGGATATGTGGAATCGCATTAGGGTTTTTTTTTTTTTTTTTAAAGGGTATCCGAGCCAAAGCTCGACTAATCCCAGGCACATTCAGGGCTAAAGCATGCCCCTTTGGTAAATGTCGCACAGGATGTGCGAAGAGGGATTCGAACCTGGGTTCAGCGCTATGAACTGCCCATGCACTAACCACTCCACCACAACACTGATTGACGGAATCGCATTAGGTTATTGTACAAAAAAGCGCTTGTGGAGAGAAAGGGAGGAAAACTGCACCTTTTTGCCTTTGCACAGCCTCTTGAATGGTAGAAATACTTCTTCAATGTGTGATTTCAAGTCTTCTACATACATGTCCACCACATGAGCATCCAGATCCACGATCGGGATTCGCTTTCCTGCTGGCAAATGGTGAATGCTTATGAATTCAAATGCCAAACCCCTAGTTGCTAGTTTCATTTTGAAACAACTTATGCTTTCCTACAAAAGCACTTATCAACTTATTATCAACTTATTATAAGTCAGAAGGGTTTAACTTCAAAAACTCCTTATTACCGGTCTGACACCGGTATAAGTTGTTTATCCAAACACTCAAAAGTGCTTATTACCGGTACCACACCGGAATAAGTTAAAGTTGTTTTTATAAACAATCCCAAACACCTATTACATCTTTCCAGAATGATCTTATGTAAATTAAACGATTACTCAGCGTTTCACCACATTTAACTTAACCAGTACGAATAAAAACCCCCAATTCATCGCAAATGAACTCACCAACAAACCCTAAATTTGTAGAAGTTGTAAGAAATCGATAAATTCCACCATATTTAACTTAATCAGTATACTTCATGTGTGTGTGTGTGGGTGAGAGAGAGAGAGTACATGGATTGGGGATCGAAGTGATGTTCGGAATGACATGAATCAGGACGAAACGATCGGCTTTCTGAAACAGATTCTCCACCGCCCAACAGACAGCTCTTCTACTTCCTTTGCCGCCAATTCCTCCGGCGTTACCACCGGTCACCGCCACCGCCACCACCGACGGAGAACCATCGCTGTCTATGGTACTTGTTGAGTTCATATCCACATCAAGAGAGAGAGAGAGAGAGAGAGAGAGAAGGTAATTTCAGTATATACAGAGAATATCGTTAGACTTTCATTTCAGTCCTCTTCGGAAGATAACGATGACTTCCAACGACCATCCGGGAAAAAACATAATTTACACTTTGTACCCTTGATGTTTTCTTATATTTCTATTCCTGGCCTTAACTTTTCCATTAGTGCTATCAGGTCCATCCCTGGATAGGCGGCACAAACGCACGACCAGGACCCCAAATTTTTCTCTTAAAATACAACAGTAGTCTAAAAGAATTTAATAAATTAGAGAAAACCCAAAAGTTGTAACATATAATAAGAGGCAAAAATAATTGTAGATAATAAGGGTCCAAAAATATATCAACTATTTACATTTGAGAAGAAAATAAAAAAATGAATTGGTCATTCATTATATGCTATTGTTTATTGTCTCTCTAATTTTTTTTTCTCCAACAAGATCCGATAATATTGGTTATTGCTATCTCTATATGCTTGATTGTTTTCGTGCTTCAACAATTTAATGTTAAGATCATGTGATTACTATTGCTATATATTTTTGTTGGATATTTTTATCAATTTCTGTTTCTATTGACTATTACTATTTGGTTATCTTGTTCTAATTGTTTTTTGTAAATTATTGTTATTTATTTTTGCTTCAACATAAAATATTTTACCATTGTTTGACAATCAATCTATTGTTCTTATAATTTATGACGTGTTTCATAGTATTATGATTAATCAATAAATTTTGTATACTAGATGTATTTAGTAATGTCTCTTATATATGTCATATTTCATCTTAACATCTTATTTCAGTTGAATAAAAAAAGAAGGAACATAGAATTTAGATATTTTCATCAATTGTTTGACTTATGTATCTTTCATTGGGATTTCACCACACCACAAGATTATATTTAAGTGCTCAAACAATCATTTGTTGAGCTTGCATATTATATGTTTAATTCATTATTTATTCTTATTGGATCTCAATTGATCATCTTTTCTTTCATATTCTTATTGATCCTCATTTGTCTACTTGTATAAAAAAAACATTGATAATCTTCTTTATTATTGATCTCTCATTGACCCTCATGATTACTTCATTTACACGAATTCTCTTTTTGTATCAAAATAACACATATTTCTTGTTATTAAGATTTATTTTCTCAGTAAATTATTAGCATTTCTTATACTCAAATTTATACCAATGAAAAAAATGTATTGAATTTTTTTCATACTTATCAAAGGTCACTACAAGAAAATTAAGCTTTGACGATGAGCCTTTTAGGGATGACATGTTTCCGTCACAAGTTATAGTGACTATATGTTGTTATATACTCTTTTTGATGATAAATGAACTTTTAGCGACGAAAAAAGTCGTTGCCTTGTTTTTTTACAGTGGACCCTGTTTTTACGTTCGCTCAGGGTCTATAAAATGTCAGAAACAGGTCTAAGTGCAATTTCACATTATCGGCTTCGAGTTAGTATATTGATAACACATATTTATCAGTTTTACAATGTAAACAAATTTATGTGTCTGTGAAACAAAAAATACAACTTTATATTGTAAGTCGAATACATATGAAACAGACATATTATGAAACAAATATATGTTAATCAATATATTAAATTATACCCTTAGATGGAAAAAGAATCATGTAAAACACCACCTTATGATAATAGTTCTCACAGTTATCATAATAAATGGGGTTCTAAAACGATTAAACCCCCAAAAATACCAACTTAAAAAATAAAATACAAACCAAAGGACCTTTAACCCAACAGTATCCGAGCCTTTGGCATTCATGAGAGGGGTTCAACCCCTCACTGAAGGTGCGGAGAGTGTGTGAGTTTTTTATTGCATTTGCCGTATGTAGATATTATATACCTGTATAAAATGAAACAATTTTTTTTATTTTCATTTTTATTGATTACTGTTTAATACATCTAATCAAACACTCCCTTAATATTTTTATAAAATGGATGTATGATAAAAATATTTGCATTGGTTAATGTTTTATAAAATAGCCGATAAACTAGTTGTTGGCTGAAAAGCTTAAATATTGACTAAAAAGCAAGTTGGTAGCTAATAAACTAACTGATAAAGTAGTCATGTTTGTTAAACTAAAACTAATTGATATATTAGCAAACAAATGGTCTGTTCAAATAAGACACTAAATATTGTGAGAAAATAGAAAAAGAAAGATTAATGGAAAGTTCATATGTAAATTATTTAAAAAATCCCGAAAATATATTTTTGAAGATGCATATCTGAACAGACGTTATAGATTATTCATATGAGTTCATATATACATCTTCAAATGAATTTTTTCAATGGTTTATATATAAACCTTATCACGATATTTAGTCTTTTTATTTGAACCTCCCACAAGATAACAATATAACGTAGAACAAAATGTGGGAAATAGCAATATAATTTTACAAAATTCCTATTATAGCATTGTATTTTCATTTTTTTCTTATTACAACAATGTGTTTTTAAAATATTTTTTATTAGGGCGTCGTAATTTAAAAAAAATTCGTTATAACATTGGGTAACATTTTAAATTAAAACTTACCCATTATACCAGGATTTTTTGTCGCATCATCGTTCAAGTAGGCTGTCCACATGTATGATAGTGCTGACAGAACATTTTTGTTTATAGCATTGTACATTTAAAATTATTTTATTATAACATCATCAATTTCTATTACAACATTGTATTTTTAATTTTAATATTTTTATCATTTAAACATTATAAATTTAATCAAATATGTTTACTAAAAATTAAACATGTTTATAAAAGAACATTATTTCATAAGTAAAAATAATAATATTAAAATTAAACATATATATAATTCATACATCACTTTTTTATGCTATATTTTTTGTCGTATTAGAAACAAGTCAATTTGGCGGCATTTACTTATGAAATCTCAAAGTTGCCGCCTTTGAATGCTATATACCAAATCCATACGACAGTTCCATCGCATATCATGTTACGTGTTTTTATTTTAATAAGGTATTATCCTATTTAAATTTATAATATTTTAAATGATAAAAATATTAAAATTTAAAATATAATATTATAATAAAAATTAATAATATTATAATAAAATAATTTTGAATATTACGATACTATAATAAGAAATGTCATGTTAGGATGATCGTATATATGGACAGTCTATGTGGACGATGAGGTGACAAAAAAAACCTGATATAGTAATTAAATTTGATTTAAAAAGGTTACCCAATACTATAACAAGTAAATTTTTGAAAGTACGATGTCCTAATAAAAAATATTTTGAAAGTACATTGTTGTAATAGAAAAAACTGAAAGTACAATGCTATAATAAGAAACTTTGTAAAAATAGATTGTTATTTCGTACATTTTACCCATATATATTATACTAGAAGGGTGCTCGCATAATATAGCGAGATATGTCTTAATTTTAATGTTCCGTTTTATTATTTATCTATGTCGATATAGTACGGTTTTTTAGTGGTTTTGAGAAAAACGATAATGTTTTTATTTTTGAATAAAAATAAATTTAAAAATATGATAAAAATATGAAAAAAAATATATCGATATTAGTACCAAATTAACTATTTAAAGTTTTGATTTTTTGTGTAATTTATTTAATTCAATATTTTATTTATAATTTAATAACGAAATAATTTATTTATCATTTGATAATATAATTTTTATAAAAATAATAATTAAGTATTTTGTTATAACTAATGATCATCCTAATTATATTTTAGATTTTTTTATATTCAAAATGAGATGTTTATCCCGTATTTGATTATGTTTATCTATAGTTAGTCATACAAATTAAAAAAATAAAGCTTTAATAAATTGTATTTAAGCATAATTTACTTGTAATTTTGAATTTTAAATAATATGCATCAATAAATAGTACTTTATGCATAAAAATGATTTTTAATAGTTTTTGTCAAATGCTTTATAATATAGTATAGATAAACAAATATAATGAAAAATTAATTATAAATTTATAAGGGGTGTAATTAAAAATAAATTATATTAAAGTCCCTAAACCTTATTGAACAAAATATGTTAGAACTATTAAACAATTGTCCTTTAATAAATGATAATAGAAAATCTTAAAGCAGGGACGGACCTATTGTGGTGTATACGGAGGCATACTGGCTCGTGTCACGTTATTATTCTTTCGTTGAAAGGTAAAAAAAATTGGTTCGTAAAAGATGCAACTGTATTAATATGTTGGGTGCCATTGTATGTATTTTAAAACTACAATGAGAACATGTTTTATTTGGCATAGTTGGTTTGCAAGGCTTTTATTCCACCACATACCCAAGTTCGAATCATGTTAGTATCATTCTCTAAGTCAAATGGTGTCACCGTTTGGAAAAAATTCCGTATATTTGTTTCTTATAATCAAACAATGCCACCGTTTGAAATTTGTTCCCTATATTTTTTTTTCTTGTAGTCAAATGGTGCCACCGTTTGGAAAAAAATTCCGTATATTTGTTTTTCTTATAGTCAAACGGTGTCACCGTTTGAAATTTTTTCCCTGTATTTTTTCTTGTAGTCAAATGGTGTCACCATTTGAAGAAAACAAATTGGGTCCGTCCCTGTCTTAAAGATCGATATCAACATGATTGGTAATATGACAAATACATAATCTCAGCTTAACGTTTCGTTTGACAAACTAGTTGATAAGTTAACTTTTAGTTGAAAAGTTAGTTGATATTAATGTGCGGTTTTTTTTACCTTCATAGCGTTTTACTGTGAAGTTTCAAGTGTAAAAATGTGATCTTATAGGTCTCATGAAAACATGTTGTTCTCACGTGAACTCAACCCTATAATATATATAATATTATAATTTTTTATTTGTATAACCAGATAAATGAAAATAAACAGTATTGAAACTTTTATGAGAGGAAAATAAATAAATATTTTTTTATCAACATATATGTGATTGAGAGAAAGAGAGAGAAATAGCTGAC